TATTCGCTGAAAAATCTGTATCCACTTTTCGGTCTATTAGCGAAGGGCTGGTGTGCGCGCACCAAAAAATCAAATCATGTCAACACTCCATAATACAGTTCCAAGCGCCACGTTGAAAGGCAACCCAGTCTTTATCAAAGCGAAACAGGAGTTGAGCCTACAGTGATAGATACCTTTTGTCTGCACCTAAAGACAATTACTTGCAAGYATCTATTGATGTAAAAGCTCGGTTACCTTTCAAGATGGCGACAGGAACTCTAACATGGAGTATTAATGAAAATAAGAAAGAGATAAGGAATGCTTTGTTATGTGCATCYAACATGGCGGACATGTCATAAAGTAAAGAACGAGAACACAGAATTTTCCGCCCCATGTAAGAGACCCCGAAATCCAATACAAAAGTGGCTTTGGGATCCAGGATCCGTATTCTTTGGAATTCGGAATCTCAAGGCTCTCAATTTTTCGGAATCTTGAATCCATGGAATACACAATTCTCTAGTAATTCTCTGGAGTCTTACATGGGACGATATGTATTTTCAATTGGTTTAGGCAGAAGATGCCCAGCTCTTCCTAAAGTTCAAAATAGCTTTTATCTACCTCCTGACTGTGGTGTTAACGGTGGACGATACAAAGGAAGAGAATGTAGACAATACTGTAATAGTGGATACGGGAARGTCGGAGGAGACGATTCACGTGTATGTCAGAAGGATGGCACGTGGAATGGATCACCAATATCATGCAAGAGAATTTGGCCAGGTAGAGCAATRGTATAATACCCAAAAATAAGACCTTTCCATGARCTCAGAAATCGCCTGCATAATTTTTTGTAGAACCTTTGACAAAWTGGTTAATGATACGACATGATACGAACGTATATTCTAAGACACTTAGAAAAGGTGTAAAAATATTTTAAGTTTTATCAAATATTCTCAGTGCTTTACAGACCATACTATACTAGAGTATACAAGTACTTCATAAAACGTTGATTACTGAAAATAGCGTATTCCAARGTCAAAGCGCATGCATTATTGTTCGTTTTATCGTTAGAGCTGAACCAATGACCTAAGAATTTCATGCCTGACCTTKTGTTTTTGGTAATCATCTGAAAAAGCAACTTTTCACGATTGTGGCAACTCCAAAATAACCCACTCTCGCTTTGAAACTGTAGCGGAAAACACCAAAAAAGCAGGTCAAGTTATCTTCTCTGCCGCTTGCCGTTCAGGAACGTCATGCTTAAGCTCTCAATTTACCAGTTCGGCCGCACGGTCGCGAACTTCAATACGCCTTTTTCCAGTTCAAAGCTAACAACCGCTGATTTAGTTGACAACAATCTGCCTCTCTTCCCTCTACGGAAGTGAGGCTGTTGTCTACTAAAACAGAGGTCGCTTGCATTAAACTGGAAAAAAGGTTTATTAGCCTTTTATTGGAGGAGTTTTCATTGCACTGTAGTCTAGATTCGGTATATATAGTTTATTTCATGGAAAGTGCGACGTACGGGATTTTATTCACGATTTTTTTGCATCATACAACGAACGAGCGAGGAACGAGCGAGTGAGTTTATGATGCAAACAACGAGTGAATAAAATCCCGTACAAAGCACTTTCCATGCTATAAGCTTTTTATTATATATATGAACGAGACTTTCATTCGGCATACTTTTTAATAAGCTTGTTCAACTATTATGAGAAACAAACTCAATATATAAGGTTATGTAGATAAAATTAAAATGCACAGATAATTGAACTTGATAAACTTGATAAAAAAAAACCAGCTAAATTAATACTCGTACATTCCACTGAAGCTGCAAGAACGTACAAGTTTTAGCGAGATTTTATAGTAAGTAGAGTAAGAAATAAAAGTTCTTCGTCGAGAAACCTACTTCTCTTGGTCGGTATGTAAGATAACGCGCTGCAATTTCCCTCTTCGTTTGAGCTGATTCAGCTTTCCTACAGGTACATCCCTTGTCTTACTGAAGTCCTGTCTTTCTAAATTGCATGGAGATTAGGTTAAGTTTGGCAGAAAACGATCAAAACWTGGTATAAAATGACCTGAACTTAGTGAACACGAACGAGACAAACTTCTGTTCGTTTAAGTTTATAGTTTTGGCTGATGTTTTCCATGCTTTCATGTTCATTCTGGATGGCAAAAAACTTAATTCTTTTGAAGAAAAACATCTCGTCTTACTTTGCTTTAGTTATGTTTGCCTTTCTGTCCACTAATAAGCTCTTCAAATGTGGAATTTTGATCAACAAACACAGTTCACCTTCAGCCATTTTGCCATCAATGCGCGGTATGTGAGAAAAGCCATTTCAGTGTTGTGAACGTCGCTTTCTGATTGGCTGATTACGDWTTTTSTGTGTTGTGATTGGTTATATTTTTACAGTGTGAGAAATGCTATACGCGCTTCTGATTGGACATATCGCTATTTTTCACATGTGAAAATATAGCATACAGATTTCATGCCATTTACTCTATGAAAGTCTCGTTATATATATAATAAAAACATCTTTTGTTCATGCTACCAAATTACAAGGCGTCTGTCCTGGAACTAGATCACAATGCACCACGATTTTGTATTTCATTAAAGGTCTATAGAAAGCAATAAAGTTTGGATTTTGAAAAATAACTTGGAATTTAAAAGCAGCGATGCATTACGGTCTTGCATTGCATTATTCGTTGTACAGTACCCAGTATTCAATGTTTTATGAAACAGCTGTATATGCCTTTCTAATATATCCTTTAGGATTTTGCAATTTTTGCATTCAACCTGAAAAAGTGTGTTTACCACAGAATAAATATCGGTATATCTGAAAAAAAAACTTTGGATATCTTCACTTGTGATTAACTTATGATACTTCATTGAAGTGACTGTTTTGAAAAGAATGTTTTTRATATTACCGGTTTTATTATGTATATGTAGACATAGACTTGCCACAATTAGTCGACCACACTGTTGKGACACTGATAATTCCCAGGAAAAACGGACTTTGAGRAAGTCTAATGTAGACACAAAGCTATTTAATTACGAATTCACAATTTCAGATCCTTGGATTACTTGTCCTTCTTTCGTCTCCGTTGATCTTCCACCTGGCAAAAACACAACTTCAGTGGGCTCCAAGTGGGAGCTTCCCCGTTCGAATTATAAAAACTTCACCATTGTTTCCCCTGTTGGAGCTGATGGTCAGTACCAGTTTCCCGCCGGTGAAACGAGAGTCGAGTGGGCCGTCACTAATCCTGATGGCAAAACCAAGAAATGTTGGTATAATGTGCGAGTTCATGGTGAGTATACAGTCATGGTCATACATCCAAAAAACATTTTAATGTAACCATCACCTTAGGTGCACTCGGGGATTTTTAGAAAATGATCGTTATCCTACTAATAAACAGGGCACGTTGCTGATACGTAGAAGTTCAAGTAATTAAGTTAGAGTTTAATTTTTTTAACGCAGCTAGCTAACTTAAATTTATTGGCGAAACATATTCAGTATTTAGTGTTTAACGTTTTCTGACATTGCTATATGCGTGAAAGGCCATATCTCTGTATATATACCATACCCTAATAGTGGTTCTGCTTTCAACAGATAAAGAGCCACCAAAGATTGTTTCCTGCCCTGCTCCAACCGTATATTACCCTGTCTATACAAAAGGTCCATACCATATTACTTACAA